TTCGTTTTTTGAAATGATAAATGATTGTGGTATTGTTGTGTTATGTGAATTCCCTATTGCTATCTATTCGGCAATAGAAAAATTTATCTATTTTTGTTCGAAAAGTCGGGGTCGAGCGAAGCAGATACTTGACTGAAAGAAAATCATGTTTAGCTTTAGATTTTTTTGCTCGGTGACATCGTTGTCTACCGTTAGGCTCTGATCTTTTGGACCGTTCAAAAACGACCAAAAACTTATGATATTGCCTTGAAGCCTTAATGTTAGTATATTTTCGGATCATGAGACCGGATTCAAAAACACTTTTTTTATTTTGTTGTTATTATTATTATCGGTCAATTCAATGATTGATAAACAAATTTTTTTTTAACAATCAAAATTCGTAAAGGATCTTTTATTATTATTAAATTTAAATTCGTGAACAATTTCCAATTGTATGTGTAATGTTTTTTAAATAAATAAATAAACAAATTTTTTGCTCAACGAATAAAATGCCAGAATATCATGATAATCTGTCATTTCACGAAACGGTTTCGTCTAAAACCTTGTTTTTCTTAGCGGGAGAATGACGTGTAACAAATAATTTTTTCGTACAACATTTTTTTAGTTTTCCCTAATACTAACAGAAAATTTTATTGTTTAAAGAACAACTTCATCATCACCAAACTCTATTAATCGATTTATCATAATTTAACAATAAAAAATTTCAGGATTTAAAAGTGATAAAAATAGAATCAAAATTAAAACTTGCAAAAATATGGGTTTTTCTAGCAAAAAGTAGCTTAGTTCATATCAATATTAAATTATCTTTGAGTAACAATCACTGAAAAATATGTTACTACTACGCATATTAATATGTTTTGAATCTCATTTTTTTACTAGATAAACAATGACTGATTTTTTTCACCAATTATAATCCTTATAATATAAAATATATTATGCAAAATCTCAATTTTTGTCAGAGGGCATTTAAGCTACCTTTTGCCAGAGAACACATACATATCAAAACCTGTCTTATGTGCTATGTAAAAGTCATTCCAAGCACCAATATTAATCAACCTATGTTGCTTCAACTCGGACACTAAAGACAGCTCAAGCACATCATTTACTATTACGCGTAGTTAACCTCAAAAGTTAAAAGTTCGAAAAAACATCAATTTTATGGAATGTAATAATAAAAGTATAGTTTTAATTTGTAAAAAAGATATGGCATTTTTATTTTGAAAGAAAATATATGGGAAAAAACAAGTGGTTTAATTAAGTCAAATTATAACATTTGTAAGCTTCCCATTATAATTATTCTTCTTGCATCATTGCAACATACATATAATGATATAATAATTCTTTGTCCACACATTTTTACATAATTTGGAACTTTTGATACTCCTATTTATCATTATCATTATTGCTGTTTGTATCAAGCATTTTTACTTATATCAAGCATTTTACTTACTTCAAGTGGCTTTACTTACGTCAATGGCTTTTACTTTAGTCAAATTGTCAAAAATGGCCCTGGTGAGAAACTACATCAATGACTAAAGTCAAAAGTTTCATCATACATCATTAGTGTACAGGTGAAAAGGTTTTGCGCAAGTATGCCTTGCATCAGGAGAGGGCCACAATTGGAACAGTTTCTAATCCAAATCACCAACATTGTATTTTAGGTAAAGCAGGAAGATCCAGATGCTTAGGTATTAGACCAACTGTAACAAATTTTGTGGATCATTCTCATGGAAGTAGATATCCCTATATCCTTGGGTATTTTAACCAAACAAATTGGTGGTTAAACCAAGACCAAGAAGATAAATAAATTTGTTTTTTTAAAAACAATATTTTTTTAAATGCAATAATGTTATTATTTATTATATATAAAATCTATTATATTATTAAAATTTTTTCAAGCTGATAAAATTTACAAATTGATATATTTCTTAAATAGGATATGTATGGTATGATAATAAATATACATTAAGAAATAAAATTTTCAAATAATTAAATATAAATGTGTTTATCACACTGAATTACCATGACCTTGTTCTATTGTAGTATTACAACCTTCTGCCAAATGTTTAATAAAAGTATCTGTACGTCTTTTCAAAATTTCATTCTCATTCAAAATATTTTCTTTTTCCCATAGAAAATGATCATGATGTTCATGAGCTGGTGTCAACACTGGTTCTGGTAATGTGACATGTGGATGATGAGGATGTAGGTGAGTTATGTTCTCGTTATCATGACTATCATTATTTGATGAATCACTTGTATCTGGATTTGATGAGTCTGATTTGGAAATTTGATTAAAAGGTATTTGAGAAGGCATTGTAATTTGAAAGTTGTCGGTTTGTTGTGATTTTAAGTTTTGAGTATTGTTTGAATTATTATTGTTACTTATTGATGATGTTTCATTAATTAATAAGTTGTGACTATTTTTGCTCTGACGATGATGTTCTTGAAAACTTTCAACGAACCAACGAGAAACTGTTCTAATAGCACCACGGCATTCAGGCAAAAAAGCCAACATTTGTAAAAATGCATGACTTACTCCTTCAATAATCTTTACTTGTACTATATTATCGTCAGTACTATTGTCATTGTTGTTGTTATTTTTGTCATTATCTGTCACCAACGTCATCAAGCTTTTCTTTTTTTTCGCTTCGCGTAGCCTTCCTGCAAAAATTATTGTATCGTCAACAAACGGGTCTTTTTCTCCACATA